TCTCAGCCCATAATGTTACCACCCATTTTCTACTTTTTCCAGATCATAATATACGCTCTCCTATTGTCATTATTTTTTCCCACACTGCCCTCTGATATAATGTAGCCTATCAGACTCACGGGCGAGTAGTATTTCGTCTTGAGTATTCCAAACTATACATTTTTCTGTGGAGAGATAGAAATGCTAACTCATCACAGGCAACTATTTTCATGTTGATTCTATAGCCCTTCATGAAAGACTGTTCCGCAAGTATAAGCTACTTGTATTGTATATTAATATGTGCTGAAATGTTTTTGGCACTAAACTACCGACTTTATTTTAAGAAAATGAAAAAATGCACGCACCAAATGGCATATACAAATCACAGCTCACTAGCGCCTCCGTGTTAGTGCTGTGTATTTCTGAAGGGGCGGGGACCCTCGCCAATTTCTGTTAAACTATTGGCTGGCCTAAATCTAAGGATTAGTTTTTGATTAGTTCTTTATGGCGTCAATCACAGTTTACTACGACCCTGGACCAATAATGTAAGAGGAGGGTGGGGTTTCATTGACTATAATAAATTTTCAGTTCTCATAGGTCATAACAATAATGTAATGTGATATTTGAATGATAAAACATTCCGGTATTAAGACATAGTTATAAATAAATTCCTTATGCATCGTTATGCCTTGTATATGTAATGTTACATTAAAATATCTGGCAATATTTGCATATGACTGGCATTCCTGCGCATAGCTCGACCAATCAGACTCCGGTATTGTTCTCTGACAGGTGGCTGATGTGACCAATAGGCGCCCAGGCTGCGCGGAGGGGGCGGGTCCAGGCTGGGCGAGGTTGACAGGACAAGAGGGGAGGGGACGAGTGCGAGGGGGGGCGAGCGAGCAGCCTAGTTTACAACAAGAGGAAGAGGGAGGGAAATAGAAAGAAAGGGCCGAGGATTTCAAGAGCCTGAGATTAAATAATGGAGTAAAGTGGGATTTTATGTTTCGAAGAAACAATACGAGGACCTATAAGGACCAAAGAAGCGCTTGTATTATCAAGTACTATCCTAAGCGGACGATGCGCACGGCAGTGCCTTTCACACGGAGCGGCTAGCGCTAACCTGCTGCAGACACGGAGCTCAACATCGGCGTTCGTCTATGAATTTCGGGTTTTTAACGCTCTTTGTGTGGTTATGATTTTGCTCTTTAGTCTAGCCTTTCTCAGAGAGGAGGAAAAATAAGCCGTGCCTCATTTGTCTTCGGCATTCTCAAAGAGTCAGGGGGTTCATCGTGGTCGCGTTTTGCTGTTGTTTCATCAGTCTAGCTAACGTCAGGTAGAGAGGCACATTAATTGGAGGGGCTACTGTACAACAGATCGCTTACTTGATGATCACGAAGGGCTCTTTCTGATGATTTGCTCTACAATCATCTGAATGTACATTATAGAAACTGGGTGATGGATGAATGCACCACGGGCGACATCTTCTTGTGTAGTAAACACTAACTTACGTCTCTGTTCATGTGTAGGTACACTGGATTGGTGCTGACCAAATTACCAGGTTGAGACGGATACCTGGATCATTTTGAGACGATGGTCTAAGAAGTTGGCAGGCTGATATAACGCATGAGAGCAAAGCAGATTGGTCTGAAAGGCCAAACGTGTGAATATACGCCTTTGTAGTTCAGACATGAGATGAGAACAATTGCGTTTCTTTCGCCAGAGTCTGAGGCGGGTGCACGACCAGGGGCGTTCCCGAGAGGCTGGCCCTATCTGGAGCGATGAACTTGAAGCTGCTTTTAATCCAAGATACTGTTAAACATCTCTCCCCGATATCATCTGTGAATTATCTTTTAAAACTGTACGGTATAAGAATATATAGCAAAGCCCACCTCGAATCTGGCATCACTAACTATCACGTTTAGATCGTCCCTCCTACTGCAGCGCATGTCCTGCTCAACCCGTGTAGTGGTCCCTGTACGTCGGCTGAGCCCCACGAACAGCCGCAGATCAACCTTTTACATGACCCGAGAAGACTGCGCAGTTCCCAGGCAAATGCTTTAATCGAGGCCGCGGATGGACTGGAGGCCTTGTTAACTCTTTTGTGCCCGTGCGGCAGTAGTAATGTAAACAAACAGGGAGAGGGCACCGGGGGTAAGCAGACCAAAGGGAGGTGGATTGCACTCTTCGATTACGTTCACCATTCCGATAATTACCCAAGGCACTGTTGAATTTTACCTTTTGCGTTGAGAGGTCGAAATTTTTTATAAATGTTTACAGTACATTTTGTTCACTGGCAAGGTGCGTATTAGATTGCGGCAGTCTTGGTGGCGAAGACAATTGAACCATCTGACTTTTGCTTGCATTGGAAGTGGACATAATGCCACGTTGTGAAGATTAGGACATGAAGCAGTAACAATTGCGATGACTCAAGCTTGTGAGGATGTTACGGATTTTAAACTGCTCACTACCTGGTACTGTGTTGATTGTAACCGCAAAAGGTTAAAGGACACGTCTATATTCTGCTTCTGAGGATCACATCAGCGATGTATTCATCAGAGAATCCTCAGTATCTGCGCCAGGGATTAAGCATGTTTGGTTAGTTTTTTGTCAACTCAGTATACTGTATTGATCCCATGGCTGTGAGCAAACCTTCATATAACAAGCTGCCCTGTTATGAGTTCATGTTTTGATATTTTTTTTCTCAAATTATTTGTACATGATAAACAAATACAAGCCATTCTTATGTATTTGTGCCACTGCTGTTGAAATTATTTAAATGTTTAGCAGTGGTACTTATTTTACTCATGCATTTCATTTGATCTTCTTTTTTCACTTTATTCTGTTACATAGCAAATATTTCTTATTCCTGTCATTGTAAATACAAGATGGGTATATATTCTTTGAACCTTTAGGTCTTGCTGACCATTGTTTCCTCTATTTTTTCCTCTATTTTTCTTCTGCAGTATGGACCAACGTAGAACCACGGTCTGTCCCAGTCTTCCCCTGGCATTCATTGGTTCCTTTTCTGGCACCAACCCAATCAGACTCATCTTCCCAGCCAGGAGAGGGTCATCACCCAGTTAACCACCCCCAAGCTGTCACTCTAAAAACAGGAGCAGGTAAAATACTGTGTTTTACTTTTAATATGAAATGTATGAATATTCATAAACTAACTGGCTCTTTTGTATCATAAGAAGTACATGGGGTGGCAGCTCAGCCACAGGAGCCTGTAGAGGCCCCTCCCACCATAGAAAGAGTTCCTCCATCTCGGCCTCCCCCTTCTGCAGAGGAGCCACCTCCAGAGAAAGACAAGGGAGAAGCAGAGAGGGAGAGGCCAGACAGTGAAACGGAGAGCGATGTTGATGATCCGTGAGTTAACTTTCTTTTTTCTTTATGACTCTACTGGCCTTGTATAAGAAACAGAACTGATTAATTAAATATTTTGTTCCTGGATCATATTGTATGTATTAATGATAACATATAACATTGTTATGCATTGTTGTTTATTTGATTAGTTTTCTTCCTGGCGTTGTTCCTGAGCAACCTCTCTCTACATCACCAGTGAAGAGACGTACACAGTCTCTTAGTGCGCTACCAAAAGATGGAGATAAGAATAGCCCTGGAAAGGTGGACTTTTTTGTAAATTGCAGCTTGTAAAAACAACAGCAAAAAATAGATCACATTCTAAATGCATATTAATGTTCCTCTTTAATTTAGAGAGAAAAGGACCATATACGACGTCCAATGAATGCATTTATGATATTCAGTAAGCGTCACCGAGCTCTAGTTCATCAGCGTCATCCAAACCAAGACAACAGAACAGTCAGCAAAATTCTTGGAGAATGGTGGTATGCATTAGGACCAAAGGAGAAACAAAAGTACCACGACTTGGCCTTTCAGGTAAGTAAATGCTAAACTAATATTCTCTCAAAAATAGAATAGCATTCTTATTAACCTTTATCAAACTTTTAAGGTAAAAGAAGCACATTTCAAAGCCCATCCTGATTGGAAATGGTGCAACAAAGACAGGAAAAAGTCTAGTTCTGAGGGTCGCGGGGTCCCAGGGGGCAAAGACATAAGGGAGAGAAGCATGTCAGAGTCCACAGGTTGGTACAAAATGCTCAGCAGGCCACTTTGTACATATGCAATAAATAATAATACCATTAGCCTGCAAAAATCATGCGTTATCAGTAATATAACAGCAGTGATGTTATATCTGATACTAAAGGTCATATATTATGCAAGCTCTTGTGTGCTTTTAGCCATGCCATAACCTCATCAAAAACACACCAGGAGTTGTGTTTTGTTTCCTTCTCACAAGTACAAATAATTCAGCATCATTAATTTGTCTTTATATTCAAAGCTTAAAATTCTCTGTTCGACCTTGTGATGTCATGAAGCAGTAATTAACAGCTACCTTTTACCTTTAGTTGAGCAGAGATTGGCAGTTCTAGGACTGAAATTATGCAAATGATTCATATGGAGTTTAAAAACAGTGTAGCACTTTCTGTATTATCACATGACATCACAGGGTGGAACAAGGAGTGCTTTTTGTTTGAGAAAAGAACTCAGCCTAAATATGCAAGGTATGTGTGTTAAACATATGTGAATGAAACAAAACACAACTCCAGGTATGTTTTTGATGAGGAAACACGATTAAAACAGATCAGAAAATGGCCCTTTAATGGACCCTTTAATATAAAGTTCTGAACATATCTTTATGCCACTCCTAAACAGAGCCTCATTCTGTGGAGCTAAAAGGAGTGCCCCCAGGTTTAGTGGGTGTTTCTGAGAGGGGTGCAGTCGAGGGTCATGGGAGTCAGCTCACTCGACCGCGAGCCTTTTCACAAAGTGCCATGCACAGCCTGGAGCGGAGTGGCAGGGGCAACACGCAAGCTCTGGCAGAACTGGCACAGGTAAGAATTCTGTTAGGTATGACAGTAAAATGAATCTCTGTGTAACAAAAATAAGAGCCATATAATTGTTCATTTAGATGTGTGGAGAGGGTGTTAATCAGTTTTCAAGACATGCTCCACCTTTGTCACAGTCCCAGCGTGGGGTCAGTGAAGACATGACCAGTGATGAAGAGCGGATGGTCATATGCGAAGAGGAGGGAGATGATGATGTCATTGGTAAAAATATATAAATATCTTTGTAGACATTTACTTTTCGGTATTATTGGTTTATCTTTGCTTTGGTTGGTACAAGGGTCTGACTGATATATTGATTTTGTTGTGGCCAATATGGTACCAATAAAATGGGAGTTGGAGGTGCCAGTAGTCGATGTAAAAGCCGATATATTTAATGATCTAAAAATTTGCTGTAAATCTTCGATTGGTTATAAAACTTGGCATGGATGATTTGGCTCTATTGGATTTTAAGTTTGGTTTATTTAGGGTACATTTACTGTTATTCTGCCTCTTTACAGTCATATTTAAAGACGGTCTATGGGACAGCTCTCCTCTGCACACTTGCACTTTGAAAAAACAAGCGGTAATTTAGTTGATGGCCTAAACTACATTTAAGTTCACTTTTATCTATAGTCAGTACAGTGGATGAGACACAAAAGCATTTAAAGCCAGCACCTCAGTGTTGCACGCATGGATCTATGGCTGCAGACGGGTGTAAACAAGCGCACGTGAGTGTCGTCACTCTGGGGGTGCATTCAGGGGTGGTACGGCGTCACAGACAAATTACTTCTCAGATAAATACTGATGCGGCACCACATATTAGGACATTTATCTGTCTGTAAATTGGATCAAATAGATGTAATATAGAGTCTTAAGTGAAGTATAACATGCCCAAATGGACTAGCAGCCCATATCGGCAAGATTTAGGCTTATGTGTCTCCAAGTGCCCATTTTGCCCGATAATGTTGGCCACCTGATGTATTGGTTGGGCCCTAGTTGGTACACATTAAAATCATGTAATTACTGTATGAGACAAGGTTTCAAAAACGTAGCTGTAGCTTGTTTTCTTACTCTTGACAGAGGACCCTTATCCAAGCAGCTCCATAGATCTCAAATGCAAGGAACGAGTAACAGACAGTGACAGTGAAAATGGCTCTGGAGATGAAACAGAAAGGAAGGTATGTCACATAAATCCAAATATATTATTTTACTTTTTCAATCTAGTTCAAATATACAGCATCCCCTATTTTCTCTTCATCAGAGAGTCTTTGCCCCAGTCATCTGCTCATCATCTACAGCTCACCCTACTCATCATGGCCGCAGTGTCTCCTTGTCCTCCTACCCAAGTAGTAGCAAGCGTTTTGAAGAAGCCAGGTCTTTCGGGGCAGGTTTTACAGAGCACAGACGAAAGGGTGGAGGTGATGGAGAACAGACTAACCTTCTTTCTGCTGAAGGAATAGGGCTCCCAAGTTCTTTCTCTGTGCCTGGCCAGTCTGCCATCTCCAGTGCACCAGCTGCACCACCCCCTCCTTCATCTACAATGGGTCCAAGTTCAGCATTAGGCATTGGTGTTTCGAGAGCAGCCTCCACTATGGTAACCAATGTGATGCGTCCTGTCATCAGCACACCACTCCCTTTAGCCAGTAAGCCCAGAGAAGGAGGGACCACATCAAGCCCACATCCACCGGAAAAGAAGTCCGTGACCCCACAGCAGCAGCAGCAGGTCCTGATTGGGCCAGGATCTGCAAGTGGTGTTACTGCACTAGGCGGTGGGTATTACTCTTCCTCATCACCTAGTCCTATTGGTGCAGGAGTAAGCCCAGGGAGTGTGGTCACTAATCTGGTGTTAGGAGCGCCCCTACCTGGACAACCTGCTGTGCAGCTTATCAGCCCCTCTCCTCAGCCCCCTCCTCCCCAGCAACAGCCACACCTTTCTAGTGCCACATCAGCACAACTTAGTCAGAGCAATGGGCCCCTGCCTGTGCCCATACTTCAGCCCCAGTTCCTGCCTGCATCTTCCCTTGCACCTACAGGGGGAAAGCCAATCACCCAAGTTCAGTATATCCTGCCTACCTTACCTGCCAACCCCAACCCCAAGAGTCCACCTCAGCAACTTAGTCAGCCAACAAGTATCTTCAACCTACCCACAGCTCCATCTGCGCACACTGTCCTGACCAACGGAAAACAGCCCAGTTCAAGTTCACTGGCTGGATATACATCAAGCCCCTCTGTGAGTGTTGTCAGCCCAGGCACCAGAGGTAAGTACTGAAAGCTCACTTTCCTATGGGTTATATTATTGTGTATAAATTGTTTATAAATTATGTCTTTCAGTGCAAACCCAGTCTCCAGTGCTCCAGAATAAAATGCTTGTTCCCATGGCCACAGTACGAACTGCACCGGCCCCTGCCCAGCAGTTTCCTATTGTGGCGCCACCTCTTCCTGTTCAGAATGGTGCCCAGGCAGGAAGCAAGGTCAGTCACCTCAAAAAATATCATTGACCTTTACTTTTCTTTTATGATAATACAGACTTTGCACTATTATTATGTAACTGCCTTGTGTCATTTGTTTATTAGTTAATACAGATAGCCCCGATGCCTTTAGTTCAGCCTGGGCTTCCTCAGGGCACAGCAGTCCAACCTCCTAATCCTTTTCCGGTCACAGTTGGTCCAGCTACAGTGGTAGCTCCAAATACAGGCCCTTCCCAGACTGTGCTTCTTCCACCAGGGTCTAACAGGTAGGATGGTGGATTTTAACAGGTTAATCTGATCAATGTTTATTTTTGTACAATTGTGAAGAACCAAACTGTAGAAGGGATGCAACTGTAGCTGTACATCTCTATTCTGGACGCATTAGTCATACTGCTGGTGGCCCAAGTTGCCTCTGTTCACCACCCCCACACCAGCACTCAGCTCCTAATGTTCACACAAACACACACACGCACATATATAGCACCAATCACAGAGTGTGGCTGCAGTACATTCACTATCCAACTCTCACTGCAGTACTTTTATTTTGTCTTTTTGTCTTAATTATCACACATTCACATTGTATTCAGGACACCTACATAAGTTTTCTCTTTCTGTATTCTTTTCCATTCAGAATTACCTATGTCCACTCCACACCGGGGGTCCCTTCCACGCTGCCTTTGGTCTCCACAACAACAGGTTCACCACCCTCCCATCAGCCCCTACCCGGATCTGCATATGTTCCATCACCCATAGCAACACTGGGCTTCACAGCCATCGCACCACCTGGACAGACCCTGGTTCAGCCTTTGATAGCAGGTCTGTGCCTTGAATATGTTATGGTTTCTCCTCTTTCAGCAGGGCTTTAATGCAATCCAAGCATTTATGTATAGGAAATAGAAGAGAAAAATTCTCTTCTATTTCCTATACATAATAGTCTTATTGTGTGCTTTTTGTTGTAGAATAACACAATTTCTTGCTGTTTCCTGCTATCCAGGTCAGCCTCCAATCCTCACAACAGCTCAGTCTCCACAACCCTCCACTTCAGTTCCCGCTTCGGGCAATGGAGGGCAAGTCGTCACTGCCATCTACCCTTCTTCACCTAGTGTTTCCATGGCAACAGGGGTGGTCTCCGCGACGGCAGCACCCCCTGGTGCAGTCTCCAGCCCTTGCAACACGTCCTCTCACAACTTGCCTAAGCACACACCTACGTCCATCACTGTAACCCCCCCACAAGCAGACAGAGACCGGGGTCCAGATGGACCAGGTGAAAAACCTCCTGAGAGGCAGACAGAAGTGCTGACACCTTTAGACCAACAGCCACAGTCCTCCAGTGTCAGCAGCACAATAGCACCCCCCAGTGGCTCTACTATTCCCATCAGGTCCACTAGTCCCCAGCAGCATATTCAAACATCTGGTATGACTACTTATTCTCATGTCACTGAAATAGTTTATTATCCATGGGGTCTAACTTTCTCCCTGTTTCAGTTGGTACTACAGGAACATCAAAGCTCATCCAGCTTCCACTTAGGGCTCCTCAGAAAGTAAAGGCTACTGTGGCTACCATTCCTGTAGGTAGCTATGAAGGAGGAGGTCGAGGCAAGGAGAGAGAGAAAGACCGAGAGAGGGAACGAGAGAGGGAACGTGAAAAAGAGGAGAGGGAGACGGCAGCCAGCAGCCTGTTCTCTTTTGATACTGAGCCCCCAACACAAAGCAGCTCGCCCTCTCCTCATCCTGCTGAAGAACCCTCCTCTGATCGACCTCCAGAGGGCTCTAATACAGCAGACAATGAAAACAGAAACAAGGACTGCCCAACCACCAAAGAGGTTGACAAAAAGCATGCATTTTTGTTTACTATGTGAGATATATAGGATCAAAATTAAACTTTAAATTTGATCTATACAGGGTGGATGGAAGGAATCCATTCCCTCATCTCCTTTACCTCCACCATTAGCTGCTGAGCCCAGCCTGCCTCCTCCACCAAGCGATAAAGAGGTTCCTACTCCCAAAAAGATTAAGGCACGCCCACCCCCTTTAAAAAAGACCTTTGACTCTGTGGACAAGTAAGTAAGAATATTTATTTTGAATAAAATTCAGCAAATGTAACTTGGTGTGTGTTGCTGTGTTAGGGTGCTGTCAGAAGTGTATTTTGAAGAGCGTTTTGCTGAGCTGCCTGAGTTTCGGCCTGAAGAGGTCCTCCCTTCACCAACCTTACAAAGTCTGGCCACGTCACCTCGTGCTATTCTGGGCAGCTACCGGCGCAAACGGAAGAACTCTACAGGTAAAATCAACACATAAAGACACAGATGTATTTTAATTTATGTATGTATAGCATAGTTGTAGTCACTGATAGTGAATCTTGTCACAAGGTCTCTCAGTTGTAGAGCAAAAGATACATTCTGTAACTGTTTTAAATGTGTACAATTGGAAAACTACATGTTTTTCTTAGTATGTTTTAAGGGACCATTTGTTTCTTCAGATTTGGACTCTGCTCCTGATGAACAAGTCTCCCCAAAGAGAAAAAGCAGAAGGCGTTCGAGCTGTAGCTCGGAGCCTAACACGCCTAAAAGTGCTGCCAAATGTGAGGGAGACATCTTTACCTTTGACAGAGCAGGTGGGTATTTTCACAACGATCATTGTTAAGATGGGATACCTTGACTTACATTATAATGATGATAAATGATACACACATTTCTACAGAGGGAGAGGATATCTTGGCAGAACTTGAGTTTGAAAAGGTGCCATACTCTTCCCTGAGAAGAACGTTGGACCAGAGAAGAGCACTGGTGATGCAGCTTTTCCAGGAGCAAGGCTTCTTTCCATCTGGTGATTCATTATATTCATTATATTTAAATATATTATATTTAAAATATTGACAGTGATTCAGTAGCCAAGAGCACTATAATTTACTGACTGAATTTGAATGGAACTTGCCATTTTATCATTAGTCAGTGTCCAAATAACCTTTGTATGTCACAAATAACTGAATTCAGTATTATTTTCCCAGTTGAATAACATGGCATTTTCTTCCAATAGCTCAAGCCACTGCAGCCTTCCAGAGCAGATATTCCGATATATTCCCAACCAAGGTGTGTCTGCAGTTGAAAATAAGGGAGGTCCGGCAGAAGATCATGCAGACGGCCACACCCTCTGACACTCCAGGTTTAGGTTTGCCCGACTTTGGCTCAAACCCTGGACCTTCTGGCTCTCAGTCGGGGGAAGGGTCTGGACGAGGGGACCTGCAGGACGAGGAGTTAGAGCATGGAGCTGACGCTGGTGTGGAGGAGCCGCGTGATTCCCAGGACTCCTCCAGGTGAGGGAGTGACCAACAGCCACTACTGTCACTCCACTCTCACCTGCTCATGTTTGAATTGGTCAGCAGCCTGGATTTCAGAGTTCAAGAGACTTGTATGCAAAAGAAACAACTTTTAAAGGGACTTCCTTGTACCAAAAAGGACATGAGTGGCAGTGGCTCTAACAATGCCACACACACACACACACCACCATTATGGACCTCCATCTCTTTATTTCAGACTTGAATTAGCACTCTGTGATGACCACCATGGTGAAATCCTCATCAAAGCCAGTAAACCAAGGCCCATTATGTACAGCTACAGATTTGCTTCGAAGAAAGTGTGTGTCATGCTGGAGTAGGAGACCTGCCTTGTCTGTTCAGAGACACAAAAAGCATTTTGGAAAATAAATACGTATGTTTTCATGTTTTGTTTTTTTTTTTGTTTTTTTTATAATGGTAGAGGAGTAATTGCAGTAAGCTGCTGCTTATGGAACAACTTGTATTTTAAGTGTTGTACACTCATCTGCTGACATTAGGGGGCTGGGCCCTCAGCAGACAATTTCAATTGTGCGGCGTTTGCTTTGAACTTGGAAGGATCCCTTCCATTTTAGTGTTTGTAGACCACTAAGCTGGTCTGTTTTAAGTGACTGAAGATATAACGGTTTAAATGGACTCCTGGCTGTGCCATCATTCCTGCAATTTACCATCTGGCCAAGTCTGACCCTAGCACATGCCAGTAGGGAGGAACACGCATTCCTGTGCCTCTTATTCACTAGCCTATGAAAGGAGGGGTTAGGGTTAATGGCACATCCTGGCTCTTAACGAGGGTTGACTTGTTGGACTTTAATTCTCTTATGCCAAGCTGTTTTATTAACTTTTTAATTATTTTTTCTATTGAACATTGCCATTATTGAGTTTGTTGTATTCCTACAACTGTACCCACGCTGTTCTTTATGTTGAATCTTCCCAAGTTCTGTTTGCATTGTGTGCAGGTGTTGCCTTATGCCTGCTGATTCCTGTAGTTAAAATAACATTCCCCTCCGCACCTGCCTTGTTCTCCAACTGTAGTCTTCCCTTGACTGGCCTCATCTCATCAGGATTTGTATTGATTTCAATGGGGAACAGATGTGAGAAGGACCTAGTGCTAATTCAACAGTAATAAGAAGTACATTTTTACTACAAAAGCATATATGCATCTCTATTCCTTGAAGGTTGGATACTACAGTTGCAGCACTTGTACATCTCCTTCCTCCACCGCTTTCCTTTCCGCTTCCTCCTTTTGTCACTTTATTGCTCTCTCCACTCCTGGCCTTTCCATTTGGGTGGACTGAAAACGAGGGGTTGCGGAAAGGGGTTAACCCTTAAGGAAAGCTGGTAGGATCTAATACTGGTTGTGTCTTTGTGCAAGACTTGGTAGTGTTGTAAATAATTACTGTAGAGTCAGTAGACTCGTAATATTAAGGAAAATAAATCTGTCATTGAGCAAGTTAACTTTTAAGACCCAACTATTGGAGAATTAAAAACACATGAAATGGAAAAAAATAATTACTATTCATGTTTTGTGTTATACTCCTTGTTTTGCTGTTCCAGTAAGCAAGAGTTTATATAAATAATTTAAGTTTGTATCTGTATCTTTCAGTATACAAATAAAAGGTGTTTAATTGAAAGTTTCATTTTCATCTGTTGTATTTTATCAAGAAAATTAACATTGTCAGCATGCATCAGCACTTTTTCAGACACTCAAACCTTTTAAGTTTCCTATTCACTGGATATGCCCACAGCACCACAAACTCAGAAATACCAAACACGACTGGAGGAGGTGAATGGTCTCCTGGACCTGAAGAAGTGAAATATTCTGTTCTAAGACAAAAAAAATAAAATCCTACTGGTGTAATATTCAGTCACTCTTCAGTCACACTGGCGGTGGGTAGCTTTTTGTAGTCCTAGCTGTGACAGACTGCTAGAAACAGCGCCTTTCTGCTCATAATACACCATTCACAGCCATACTGACATTCATTCGAAATGCCCTAAACTAAAACCGGTAGACCTAGGCTCAAGAATTATGAATTTATTTAACATTCACAACAAAGACAATGTTTAACATTTCAAACAAAAATACTACCTTATAAAAATGGTAAAACAAATTATACAAAAATAGGCACAATTAATGGTCCTTACACAGTATGTCATGCAAGACAAGTCTGCAATGTTTTCTGTTGAAGACTTTGGTCTGTGAAGGCAAATACTTACTTTCACATTGGAACTTTACTGGCCTCAATGACAAACCCAGCTTTTTATGTAAAACTTATAGGAGCTGCAGTCTTTCTACAGTGGAGCCGTCCAATCCGAGGCCATTTTCCAGAGCTGCCTGATAAATCTCCAAGGCTTGCTCCAGTGGCAAAGCACCTCCCTCACTGGTCTCAATGATGGCTATTGTCTCCCCAAACTCATTACACATGATAGTAGGGGTACCCTGTATCTGCAAAATAAAATGGTATTCATTCATACAAATGAACTAGACACATTACACTGTGTTATGTATAATAAATGAGGAGTACTGACCTGCTGAATATCTGTTGTTTGGATCTGAATGACTTGAGGCTGTCCATTAGCCACTTCCACAGTGGCACTGTCTACCACAGCTACAGCCGATTCAGTCTCCATGGCAGCAGGAGTAGCAGCCTGTTCCAACTGCTGCTGTCGGGCATGGGTCTTCTTGTGACTTCGAAGGTTGGAGAAGGTTTTGAAGGCTTTTCCACACAGTGGGCAGACGTGCGGCCTCTCACCAGTGTGTGTGCGGCGGTGCTCAGCCAGGTGCATGCTTTGGATGAAGCTTTTGTGACACACTTCACAGGTAAAGGGCCGCTCCCCTGAGTGTGTGCGTAGGTGCTCACGCAGGTGTGTGTTCTGACGAAAACGTTTACCACACACTTGACATGGAAACGGGCGCTCACCAGTGTGGACCCTCTGGTGCAGTGCTACACCAGAGGATGATACAAACTGTTTACCACAAACTGGACACTGGTGAGCTTTAGGACGTTTCCCTGGCCGTCCAGGGCCCACCGCAAAGTGACTGAGCCTGTGAAGACGAAGATTTGCAGCGGAATTGAGCTTCTTCCCACAGATGTTACAATCTAGGCTCCTCCCAGTAATGGCTGCTTCTGCTGTCTGCATTTCCTTTGTGAAGGATGTTGATGGCTGTGATGTGGTATCTGTTGGTGCATTGTGGTTCTTCTTTTCTGACTCAGTCACTGTGCCAACCAAAATGGAGTGCTTCTCAAAACAATGAGCATCACGTTGCCTCATAGTTATAAAGCCTGCTTCACAACGAGGGCAGGAAAAGGGGGCTGGAGAACCAGGATGTTGAGTAAAACGATGCACAGCAAGCTTTGCAGGCCAGCGAAATTTAGCAGGGCAGTCGGGGCATGATAGCATTGCTGCACTTGAGTGAAGCAAACTATGGTTGCGGAGGTTTGAAGACTGGGAAAATGAGCGATGGCACACCTCACAGCGGTATGGTCGAACTCCAGAGTGAATGAGGTTGTGGCGGATTAGATTGGCAAGTAAAGTGAAGGTTTTACCACAATCAGAACACTGATATGGGCGCTCCCCAGTGTGTGTTCGGATGTGGTTATTCACATGTATCTGCTTCTTGAAAGACTTTCCACAGATACCACACATAAAGCTGCACTCTGCTGCGTGGGCCTTCCTTCTATGATGGACCAGCTGCTTTTGAGAGGAGAAAGTCTTGGAGCAGCTACGACAAGAGAAACTGCTGTTATCTGTGGACACAGCAGGGGAGTCAGTGGACTCTGTCTGAGCAGTGTTTTCCTCCGGAGGGGGCCGCACAGCTTGTTCTGACTCTGCACTAACAACTGTGTTTTGGATGTTGTCATTATCGACTACAGATACATTCGTGCTATTTATCACCTGACTCTCCTCATTGTCTTCTTCCTTTGTTTGCGGATTCTCTGGGTCACTAGAGTTTATGTTTTCCACTTGATCCTGTTCCACAGGAGCCCAGAGAGAGTTCTTCTTCTCACGTGCTTTCTGTAATATTGCAAGAGCAGATACTGATGCTCTTTTTGAAGCAGAAATCTAAAAAAAAAAAAAAGAAAAAAAAAGAAGCCAATTTAACATAAAATATATATTCTCAGTTTATAATATTTCTTATACCATAGATGTATTTGTTGGTGCGGAGACTTCATGATTTAGGTGTATCCGTCTATGGTACAGTTGTTTGGTCATACTGGTAAACACTTTGTCGCAGAAGGTGCATTTGTAAAAAGGATTGGCAGTGTGTGACTTTCTGTGGAACAGAAGCAAGATAATAATAAAATGTAAACAAAATGCATATCCAATTCTGTAAAGCAATGGTGTTTACCTGTGAGTTATTAGTGTTAACTCCGTAGCAAAGCCCTGCCCACAGTCCACACACAGGAACCTGGCCACCCCTGTGTGAGTGCGCATATGTATCTCCAGGGACATAGGTCTTTTAAACATTTTACCACACTCAGAGCATTCATATGTGCCCTGTTCATGTACTCGTCTGTGAATAGCCAATCTGCTCGCAGAGGCAAAGGTTCGATGGCAGAGATCACACTTTTGTGGGTTAGACCAGACAGAGGATTTATTTTCTTTAATACTAAGTCGAATCTCTGTTGCCTTCTCTGCCAATTCTTCCCTCACTCTTGCCTCATCAAAGCTACTCATGACCCCCGTTTCCTCACTCTCTTTATCCTGGGCCAGAAAGTGTTCCCCCTGGTGCTGGAGAAAATCTTCGGGCGTGTTGAAGAGAAGGGAGCACTCAGAGCATTCATATGGGTGGCTTAAAAGCACCATTTCAGTTGACTGCGGGTGGTGGCCAACATTCTGAATATTAGGAGCTAACCTCAACTCCAATCTTTGAACACCATTTTCAACACGGCCTACTTTTGACCCTGACACTGAAGAATAAAATTTAGAGCGAGCGGGAGAGCTGGATCTATCAGCTAAGGCCTGTGCTGTGAGTATCTGCAGGTGCATGGTGGCAGAGCCAGGGGCTGGTGTCACTGAGGGCAGCAGTGAGGGGCGAGCAGGTTGCACAGGTTTGGAGACTGTATGTCGTTTCTTCTGTTGCTGCTGTTGAGCAAACACCTGAAAATATTAAAAACATTTCAGTTTCAGTTTATTCTACACACTTCAGAACATGAAATGCCTCCTGACTATCTGCAGGTCTCTAGTGTGAAGGGAGAATAAGGTAAATAAACATAATTTGTCACAAAATGAACACAGCAGAAATAGGCAGGCCCGGGTGCAGACTAAACTGAATGAGGGTGCATTCCAGTTTCAAAGGGGTGCAAACATAATACGTGTGGCATTATTTTAGGCACCTGAAATGAAGGAGCAAATATTTTTAACTGAGGTTGCAATGCACACTTTTCGCACCCCTGTAGATCTGGGTCTGGATATACGATTTTACAATTTCGAAGCTAAATTCAGTATACCTGAGCCAAAATCTCCTTAGCCTGCTCCTCACTCAGGACATGATTCTGCACATTGTTCAGTGGAGTGATGGTGCCGTCGGGCTGAAGGACATACTCCTGTTACAAGAGCAAATCTATGGTCACAATGCTGTTTACATCATCAAAGACACACACAATAAGTAAGTAATAAAGTGAGTGATGCATATTAATATAATGCATACGCCTATGATCACTTACTACTGTCGAGTCAGTATTGGTATGAGTGACACTTCGACTGTGAGTGCGTCTATGCTCCAGCCATGTTTCTGGTGAGTTAAAGAGAGCCAGACAGTCCAGGCACTGGTACTGGACAGGTTGTGAAGCTTGAGACTCTGGATTTACTTCCACTTCCACCTCACACAAGTCTGAAATAAATACACAATTCTTTAGTAAAGTTTTAAACATAAACCTACAGATATGTGTAAAAATCTCCACAAAAAGCTATGGTGTTAACCATTTAAATAAGAATTTTATGAATGGAGAAAATACCTTGTCTCACTTCTGCTCCAACTTCTCTCATATGCATTTCTTGGTGCTGTAAAAGCTCATCCGCATTTATTAGAAGTGTCCCACATTCAAGACACTGGTACTGTTGGTTTTGGCCCACCTCTGGGATGTCTTGGACCATCATAGCATTCACTGCTTCCTCTCCTTCTCCTTCTTGGCCAGTATGGATCTGCTGGTGAACAAGTACATCCTCTAACGTGTTGAAGAGCTGGTGGCATTCACTGCACATGTACTGGTGCTCCACATATACATCTTCTGCTTCATCCTGTTGCCCAGCCATTCTGATGGGTGTGTGAGGAGGACCTAGACTTTTCCCAGAGTTGATAAAGGGAGGGGGTTGAATAATTGTTTTGAACTGATCACTCTTCTGTCTTCCTTAGACCATATTTCAAGGCTACTTTCTGCAACACACAAGATAGTACATTTTATTTAAGGTTTAGTTTGCTCATCAAATCAGATAGGCTAGATAATAGTAAATAATTCAACAATAAGTGGCGATGAATAACAAACAATATGCTACATCCTCCGCTGCTAACACTGACGAGGTCTATTTCTGGAATTGGTACGTCGGCAGTTCCGTTTTATAGCAGTGTTGTAACGTTTTAATACAACCAGAGGAGCTATTAAAACATGTGATGGCACATGGAGAGCTGTTGGCGGCGCTCCCTTTGACAAAGCAGACCTACTTACCGACACCGCGGTTTCCTGACTGCGGATGCCCGCTTCGCGCGGCGGTCGTGAGGCGGCGCTAGCTACTTTCCTCCGGAGCTCTCTAGCCGCCGCGGAAGGCCCTTCTTTCTCTTACTTCTCAGCCGCTCTCGTTGGATGGCCACCTTTGTAGTAGTCACTCGTCGCTCATCCACTTGTATTTCGGTAGTGTAGCGAGCCCCTTGGTAATACCGAGATAATGTAACACAAACTAAACTAAAATATTTCGGCAAACTCTCCAAAGCCTGTAATGTAGCGTTTGCCCGCCGATCGCCTTCATGCTCGTGAACAGAAGTCCCGCCCAATGCGGTAGTCCTGAGCAATATCGATAATCTGATTGGACGGTGCTCCTGTCTAATATAAGTAACTCAGCATCTGTTGCTGTGCTTTCTGTAATTATGTGTAAATATTTGTATATGGCTTTGTTGTATTCTGTAGAAATGCCTTTCTGAGTTAAGTGGTTTCAAAATGTTTTAGCAGTAAAGCCTATTTGTTACGCTGGGGACGTTTACCAGTGGATTTCGTTTAAAAAAAAACCCCAAAAAACTAAACTAAACAAAAACAACATTATATTTTGTAATTTGCGGGGTCGGTGGCTGTGTGTACAATAAGTTAGTGGTACTTGTTGAAGAACTCCATTTCCCATGACCGCCAGTAATCTGTATGTCGCTTTGCGTCACGTCCCCCGTCCCCCACCATCGCTGATCTACAGAGGAAGAAAGGGGGAGACGAGCAGCCTACACAGAACGTTGTAAGTGTAATTTATTTATCCGGGATTGGAAATTACAGACATGCTGCTTGTGTGACAAATGTTGAAATAGTGAGTAAGACCTTTATTTGACCTGGTTTTAGTTCACACCAATATGAGCGGCAGCGGGCGGCCCAGGACCAGCTCATTCGCTGAGCCTCCCGGAGCTCCCGGGTCCGCAGCAGCCGGTGCCGGATCATCTGTAGCCGGTGGAAGTTCGACAGGAAAGACCGGTGCTTCACAGGCCACTGGAAGTAGCGCGACGAGTTTTGGGAATTTAAAACTGCCCAGTAAGTGCTTGTTATATGTTTCCTACTCTTACGTTATTTTCCTCATTCTTCTATGGTTTGTGCAAAAGCAAAGTGCCTGTTATTTTTTTTGTCGATCATTGTTACGCTGCTGCTCCTAGCATGTTAGCCTTTAGCTCTCAGTTGACTAGCTTGTCTAAGTTATTAACCTACTTGTGTTTTTCTTTACGCAGTTGTTGTTACTAAACATTTTGCCAGTAGATATTGGGATATTGATTCCATATTTTGGAGAGTAATTAAATATCGATTATTCTATCTTGAATTCTACTATGTTTTAACGAGCCCATGTTAGCCACTTGTGTTGCTCTTACATTCTTCATCACTGCCAGATGTGAGCTTTATAACCAGGTTGGCTCGGTAATGGCACTGAGTTAAAATTGCCCTGTCGCGTCGATCTGGCCTTGGTCTGTTTCTTGGTGGATAAGTGCATGTCCTGAAGTGAAAGAAGCGAGTGGGATTTATGTTTGCTTATTAACCAGCACATGTTGACGTTACCTTAACCTTATCTTACTGAACCCTTGGTACCTGACTGTATGTATGCCGACATGTGAGCATCAGTGCATATGGACAAAAGCCAATCAGCCCAATATAATCGCTTTACATAATTCTTTGTCTCACCAGACATGTCTACGGACTTGTTTTAATGCAGGCAATCTTGTGCAAATGCAGTATCAGCTAATTTTGAATTGTTTGTGAAGGTTGTTAGTCAATAATGAAGTTCACTAAGAAAAGGCCAATTTGTATTATCATGTGCAGTTTGTAGTAGGGCACAAAAATTAAGTTCTATTCAGTTTGATTAAGCCTAGTGATCTAATGTTGTGGCAGAATAAAATAGGGTTTGATTTGCTTTATTTACAGTAGCATTATAACTTTTCTGGTGGTGGGTCTGCCACCTTCTTGTTTAAAATATCTTAAATACATGCATTATTGTGAGTGGGTTCACCTCTCCACAGATCTAACGTACAACTTGGTTTGGGGACATTATCTACATTATTTTTCATTATAAATAATTTGCATGCCATTCTGTGTCCAAAAACTTCATGCAGAGTAGCTTGTGGAAGATGCTCCACCAGAAAAGTTACATACTGAACCTTTAACATGGTTATTATGCTTTTTTGTGTTTTTTTCTTTAGCAAAATCTTTTCTTGCCTTCTATTCTCTAACTTAACTAACTTAGCCTTGACTGCAGTTTTCTTTTGGATATTTAACCGGAACACATTTAGACTTTTAGACTTGCTACAACTACAGGCACATCTATGTAAAGTAATAATGACATTAAAGAGTCATCAGCACAGCTCTTATGCTCCCAAAATGTTATTTCTTGTGTAAAATGTTGGAACAAAACAGCTGTGTGGACCTTCTTTTTCCCCATTTTGTGTTGTCTTGCATCCTGCACACTTCCTTTAGAATGAATGTGTGTCTGTCATTTACATTGATTGAATTAAACATTTCTTGAGCTTTGGTTATTCCTCATTAAACAATCTCTTCAATTCAGTTCTATGATTTTTATTGCTCACAAACAGTACACTGCTATACCATTATGTAGTACTATTTTTGTAGACATCTAAAGCTCTGTTTTAATTAAAATCTATAAGACTCAGTAGTACAGGAAAGTGTTTTTTTGTCAGCTACAAATGTCAACCCTGGTCTGTCTCTAATCCATTAATTCATTCTGATCACCATTTTATCACCAGAGTAAACTCAATCTGGTCATTTTGGTGTACAACTGACTTCACTACACAGCTAATACACTAAAGTGCAATCAACCATTGGTTTTAGCTTAGTTTGATTCTTTCACTTGCAAGGGCAACTGCAAGCACAAGCAGATTGAGTCATTGCACCCTCTGCTGGCATTTTCTCTTAGAAATCTTAAGGGAGGTTTGGGTTTTGACCATTTTATTTATGTAGTTTATCCACATGAAGATGTAGATAAACTCAGATGTGCAAAAGTAGTTTTTAAGACAGAATCGTGCAAAATATGAGAGCTAAATACATTCTTGTTTTGCCAGTAAAGAAAGTGGAACATACCTGTTTGTGTTCTGACAAATGCTTTTAGGGATGATTTGAAGTAATTTGATATAACACATTTCCATTTTTGCAAATATTTAAAACGTTCAAAAACACTATTAGATTTCTAAGATTTAATATTAAAACTATTTGTAGTACTGTAGTAACCTTTTGACTATCATAAGGAATGGCAGTCTTTTATCTCGTTAATTTACCTTAGATCAAGAGGGGTGATCTGTTGAAACAAGTGTACAAGCGCGAGAAATGGAAACATAGGGTGTGCCTCTGTCCACCCATTTCATCACATGCTCAGGCAAGCCTTATGGCAATGGGCCCTCACCTCTCCTCCTATTCTTGTGCTGCCTTTGCTCCTGTTGCTGATTTTTGTCAGATAATTTTAGATTACCTTTACCCAACATGATGCTGAGCTGATCAAATCAATTAACAGGACTTGAAATTTCTTGGTAAAAGATTATAGAGCATTTTTATAATTTTTTGCACTTGCAAGGATTTAATGGCTCTCAGTGGTTAGTATCTGTTGCCCTGCAGAAAAAGTCCCAGGGGCAGCACAATTTTCTGTGTATACTATACTGAGACCTCATGCCTGATGACAAGCTGTTTAAGTCAGGGGCCCTGGGTTCTCTAGTCAACCCAAAACATGGCTAGACTACGCTGTTCCTCCAGCTAGGTCATATGGACCAAGAGCCTCCTGAAAGTGATATAGATGGTAGCCCCTGTGTGGAGCTGTTTCTCACTGCTCCTGATCGGTTGCTCAGACTGAGGTTGTAATTCAAAGATGCGTGCAAATACCTGCTAAAGTAAAGGGAATTACCTCATCAGTTTTATTCTACATCTCAGCCTAGTAGGAAAATGTAATTATTGACACTTGTGCACAGCTTGTGCTTATTAAGGTCCCAATGTATTACTAATGACATTATTGTATTTGTGAAACATTGTTATAGGCATGTTTTTTTTTTGCTTACCACTGTTGATTTGGATATTGTGGCTGGCTGTGAGGTTTTGTTTTAACTTAATTTTCTTGCCAACAGGAGACAGTGGTAAGGTGACAACAGTTGTAGCCACACCAGGCCAAGGACCTGACCGCCCGCAGGAAGTGTCTTACACAGACATAAAAGTTATTGGAAATGGCTCGTTTGGAGTGGTCTATCAGGCACGACTTATTGACAGTCAGGAGATGGTGGCAATAAAGAAGGTTCTGCAGGACAAGAGGTTTAAGGTATATTTGCTTTGGTTATCCAGACTTTAAAGCATTGGCATACTACGCAAATATGACTCTTCTTTTACAGAATAGAGAGCTGCAGATTATGAGAAAGTTGGACCACTGCAACATTGTGAGGCTACGCTATTTCTTCTACTCAAGTGGGGAAAAGGTGTGTAATCAATTTTTCTAACTTACTCTCGCCTGCTCCTAAACGTATCTGAGCATTAACCCCAGTACAGGAGTTACTGCCCACTCACTAACTTGCATTATTTGACAGCTGAAGTAACCAGTTTTATATCAACATCAGTTTTCGTTTTTCTCTGCACTCTAAAATATATAGTGCATCATGTGATGTGACCAAATAAAAATGCACACCACCAGTGAGAAACGTTGTCCTGCTGTATCTCCTCTTCTCTTGTTCCTTTGATTAATCAGTTAGTTGTTTAGATCGTGAAAGGCCTGTGAATATGTTTCCTACTTTGTATGTAATTCCTGTAATGTATCAGAGACCTCTCCTCTCATGACATTTTTTGGAGCTTATGTATGCCAGTTAACGATTATTCAATTACTAAAATAGTTGACAACTACTTCAGTAATCGATTAGGGTAGCCAATTAAACTAATAGCAACTAATCTCCTGTCTGTGTTTTCCTTTCTCCTCAGAAAGACGAGGTGTATTTGAATCTGGTGCTGGACTATGTCCCGGAGACGGTGTACAGGGTAGCGCGGCATTTTAACAAGGCCAAGACCACAATTCCCATCATATATGTTAAGGTAAGGCTGATTGTGCTTTGATTCCTACCAGCTATCACCTCAAAGTTGGTTGAATTATTACTTTTTTTTTTGTAATGTAGATGACATCTAGTCGTGTTATGTGAGATTATAACAGGGCCAGCTCGGCCAATGCAGTTATAAATGATGGCTTTAATGGCTTATTTAACAGTGCAGGATTTGTGATTCTAAATGTTTTTTCTTTATTTTGTCACAAAAATTTATTAGCAGTCAGTTGTGTATGAATTATCTGATAATGAACTTTCTCCTATCTTTTTTAGGTTGTAAGCATTTATGTTCCTGTGGCATGTTATAAAATATTGTTTCCTTGTTTTTATTGACTTTTTTTTAATTGACTTTTATTGACTTATTGTGTCATGAAGTGATCTGGCGCACACTTGATTGTGTGGACTGCTTCTGTTCAGAGGCTGTGTTGGTACCAGTTGCACAGCACTGGTCATGCTGGTTGTCTCATGGCCCATTTCCCTCCTTTCTCATCCTCCTGCTCTCTTGCGGTAGCACATTTCTTCTTAGCTCAGTTCAACATGGCGGGGGTCCTTTTCACGTTCCTTGGGCTTTCAGCGCATTTGTCAGCTTTCCATCTGTTTTTCTTTTTTGACATGTCCTCATTGTACTATTCTCCTTACACTGATCATCAGTCATCTTTTCATGTGTGATGAGCTGCTGTCGGTGCATCATACGGATAATGACGATAATCACAGTGAAGATGACAGTTGTTTGTCACATTAAGAAGCTCAGCAGCTACTCCACACACTCAAATGCTCACAGGCTGGGCTAGCTTTCAGGATTTTGAGATTGGGTGACACAAATTATTGATCTAATCAGCATTAGCATTGATCTAGTGCATTTTCATATGTTTTGCATTAGTTACCATTTAGACACATTGCAAGGAGTAGAAATGGCAAATGTCTCAGAAGTTGCTCTGACTTGATTGATAACGATACGGTAGCTTTGCAGTTGGCTGTTGGATGGGTAATGAGTCCTAAAATAATAGTTTTGAATATTAAGGAAATAACGTGACACTGTTTGTCTCCTCCAGGTGTACATGTACCAGCTGTTTCGCAGTCTGGCTTATATCCATTCCCAAGGCGTGTGTCACAGAGACATCAAGCCTCAAAATCTTCTGGTGGATCCAGAGACGGCCATTCTCAAGCTTTGTGATTTTGGCAGGTTGGTTCTTCATTTATTTTTGGTCATGGTCAAACACCTTTTTTGCAATATAAAAATGTTTGTTATTTGAAGTTGTTATAGTTGTATAGTACGTTTAGTTGCATATTTTGACAGGCTTTATGTCTCATTTCTCCCCTTCTCTCATTCAGTGCGAAGCAACTCGTTCGAGGAGAACCCAATGTCTCCTATATCTGCTCACGGTACTATCGTGCCCCAGAGCTCATCTTTGGAGCTACTGACTACACATCCAACATTGACATCTGGTCAGCTGGTTGTGTGCTGGCTGAATTGCTATTGGGTCAGCCTATCTTCCCCGGGGACAGTGGAGTGGACCAGCTTGTAGAAATTATTAAGGTAATGAATTGGATGCTTAATTCTCTAACTATGTTCTAAATTCTAACAAAGATCTTGAGTGTTTTCTATAGGCAGTTATAAAATATTTTTGTATAAATGTACAGGTTCTGGGGACACCAACGAGGGAGCAAATCAGAGAAATGAACCCGAACTACACAGAGTTCAAATTCCCTCAGATTAAAGCACATCCATGGACTAAGGTGAGTTTTTGTCTATAGCCATTTACAAACAGTTGGGTGATTTCTGGGTGCTGTCCCCAGCTCTTCTCCTGCTTTGTGCAGTAAGTCTGTGGTACCTCTGCATGCTGCATTTAAACACAAGAGAAATGGGTTTGTGTATCATGAAGAGTGGGGAATGACGTATCCGCACTGTGACTATCAACCTGCAGCTCACAGAGAATTAAGTTCTTTGGACTCATGGCATTAAAGACGCTGATATTTTCCTCCATCTTATGTACACCTTAAATGAGGAATCGTGGTAGAACACAGAGCAGGCTGAAGTCCATCTAGATGTGCATGTTTGTAAAGGGCTTTTGTCATGTTCGTGTTGTATAATAATACAGCGATGTTAAATATCAAACAAAAATGTTTTCTTTAGGTGTTTAAGCCCCGTACCCCACCTGAGGCCATTGCCTTGTGCTCTCGGCTGTTGGAGTACACACCAGTGACGAGGCTGTCTCCTCTGGAAGCATGTGCACATGCTTTCTTTGATGAGCTGCGTCAACCCAACACCCGCTTACCTAGTGGACGAGAACTGCCACACCTCTTCAACTTCAGTCCTGTTGGTCAGTTTACATGGACAGACCATATTGTTATTAAATACACATCACATATTTGATTGACTATAAAATGTGCATGTTGTTCTTCTCTTCTCAGAGCTCTCTATCCAGCCCCAGTTGAACACCACTCTCATTCCTCCTCATGCCCGCGCACAGACATCACCTGCCTCCCATGGTATTATTTTCAGTCAAAAACTAAAACTGTTACGTTTGTTCTTGGTACTTATTGTGATAATTCTTGTTCCCCACAG